CATTTTTTTCATAATTTTCAATTTCACAAAATACAACCTGCACCTCCAGTCACAGCGGCCAGGAATATGGTGTACAGCATGGAAATGGCATCCTCCCTGGAGCCTGTGCTCTTCCAGTCACTGCTTACGCACGTTACATTCCACATACATTTTTCAATGGGAATAATGCTAAAGCCCTCTTCTAAGCGCCAAATGAGTCAGATCACAATCCAAGAGGTTTGTGCACTTGTGGCGAGTCTATTCTGTCACCCTGGCCTTCACTCTTGATGCTTTGTTTACGTCACCTGTGTAGCGGCCTAAGGTTTTCCTTGACATGACTACGTCGTCATCCTGATCCAGGGGGTTAAGCTATGCCAGGGAGGTGTGTCATCCATCATGAATATATTAAATGTAAACAAAAATGAAAAGTTGTCAGCTTTTATATTGTTGTTTATTTCCATTTTATCTCATTTATTGATTAATTACAAAAGTAGTGGTAGGAGGTATTCAAGGAAGGTATTTGGAGAACATTAAACCCTCCCAAATTGGGTAAGGGTAAGGATGAAAAGCATCATGGTAATGATTAAAAGTATACAGTATGATTACCTGTCTAAATAGTTCAAATAAATGTCATGTTTATTATCAGTTGAAGAAATGTATACATGTGACCAGCTTCTGTATATCTGCAAGGATTGAGAGCAGTGATATCATTTAGGATTATTTTGAAATCTGTCTAAGTTGTGACACTTTTCATTGTTAAAAATTGTTTGTGCTCTATTCTCATATCTATTGCTTAGATATTACCATAAGAATGAAAATTCTTGGGATACTTTTTGCTGAGATTTTTATTTTGAAAGTATAGGTTACTCTTTGAGAATCGGTACAAAAAATATAATGCTGTTTTACCATTACTTACTGCCCTTAAGAACAGATAGTAAGTGCTGGTATGACATTGGGTTTAATTAACCATTTGGGTTCGGTTGTGCCAAAAATACAGGCAGTGGCTTACGTACGTAGCCAACATCCCGATCATGCGGTGCATAGGCCAGCTGCACATGAACGCCCATGAATGGTGGAAATACTCTGCGCCTCCCCTTTGCAAAGTTATTTTTTATAAAATTTAAAGATTTTTGGCCCTCTTCTTTTGTCCATATTGTCTCATGTTCCTTTGTACATTAGTTTATCAATGGGAATAATGTTAAAGCCCCCTTCTAAGTGCCAAATTAGTCAAATCACACACCTAGAGGTTTTGTGCACTAGTGATCAGTCTTCTCTGTCACCCTTGCCTGATGATGACATGTTCACGTCACCCAGCCCTCAACCCAGATTTTTGCATGATGGGACCGTAACATCATCCGGATCATAGGGATTGATAGGGATATTTATTATTCATTGTTATCCTTATCAGCTAGTGTGTTGAAACCAGTCTTAGATTTTTATAATTATAAGTGGGACTTTTTTAGAGGTAAGGTGGCTGTTTAAAAAATATATGATTTTGAAGAAATAGTAATCCATTTATTATGGGGCAGAAATTAAACTTCTTACATTATGAATTTCAGTCAGGCACAAGAAATTCATGTGTAAGTGGTCAGCATCCCAGGCATGTGGTGCTTAAGCCAGGTGCGCATGAACACCAATGAGCAGTGACAAGACTCCCCTTTTAGAAGTTATTTTGTGAAACCTTTTTTTAGCTTTATCACCATTTTCCAGTGTGCATATTTCTTTTGATTTGCTTTATCCAGATGGGAATTACTTATTTTCCTTGCACAGATTCAATAACATCTCTCTATGTAGTAAATAGCTCAGTGCAAGAAAAAAATATGGAACATTTGGTTATTTGTTGTATATCTTTTCTGTTACCCAGGCCTTCACTCTTGATGCTTTGTTCACGTCACCTTGTAACTGCCCGTTTTTCCTTGACGTGATCACAACATCATTTGGATCCAATGGGGTTAACAGAAAAATAGTACACTGGTCTCTCCCCTCTCCTTCCATCCCATTTGTTTACCATTATTTGTTATTCAATTAGCAGAATTGACAATAATTACCTACCACATAGTCTCTATATGAGAATGTGTTCATTCCACTTTCTCAATTATGGCATTTCTTTTCAAAAGTGAAAATATCTACTGTTACCACACCCCTCATTTTAATGAATATCTATGTTTATGGAGCTTTGCACATAAATCTTGACCACGGTCAAGATGAGTTTCCAGCTACATCACTTCAGAATTGTTATGCAAGCAAGAACAAGGACATCTTATTTTGGGGGTTTTGCATCTAATGTAAGGCAAAATTTTAAGGTTTTAAAGTTCTTCAAGGATTGTGGGAAGAGTGAAAATCTTTAAGGATAGAGAGATGGGGGAAGGGTAATTATCCTTATGTACCTGTAAATTAGATGTTAGTGTTATTGAACATGTGTGTGTGTGTGTGTGTCTGTGTGGAGATGTACAGGTAGTGATGATTTTTTCCCTGAGAAAATTATATCATATCCATTAATTTACACCTGTTTCTTTTGCAGTTCACGGTTCACAGACTCTAAGAAATATGAAGATGACTTTGTAGAGTGTTTTAACTTGAAAGAGAGAAGGTCAGGGGAGATTTGCAATGCATGTGTTCTCCTAGTCAAACGCTGGAAGAAGCTGCCAAAGGGAACAGACCGCAATTGGCATCATGTAAGATTTCCTAATGTTTTTCCTTCTTTTTTATAGGGGGAATGTACTATGATCTTAAAGGAATTTCTGTAATTTTTTTGATAGATCTATGAATGTTTTAAAATCCATTATATTGTTGATGCATGGAGTATTATGTCATGGTCAATAATAGGAACATACTATCATCCTCAGTTGAAAAAGATTACCATATCATCAGATCTTCACAATTTTGTCATGGTTGGTTTGTATATACTAATCATGTTAAAATTCTCATTACAGGTTGTTGATGCTAGAGCTGGACCAGGTACAAAGTCCCTCACAAAATTCAAGAGCAAGAAGCTGAAGAAGAATCCTTTAAATCCAGATAAACCAGTAAAAGAGAAGATAAAGAAAAAACACAGGTAAAATCCTTAGATTTTATATTTGTTTCTTATTATGCAAGAAGGTTAAAATACCACTGAATTTCTAGTAACTTCCAAGGGTATTTTCAGAATTGTCTAAGTAAGATTAACCCAGTAACGACAGGTGGCCCATATATGAGACACCCCAAAAAATAAGCATTGCTGGGACGCCAGTGTGACGCTGTATCGGACCGGGGCCCGGCGTGTGGGCAGAGTCCGGGCCAGCCCTGCGCGTCGATTTTGTAGCCGCCCAGAATTTTTATTTTCAGCTTCAAAATATACCAGTGGTAATGGGTTAAGAAATATCAAATGTTTCTTGGCATACAAGTTGCAACCGATTTTAGAAGGATTTACTGTAATGGCATCTACAACCAATTATTATTACGCAAAATTTCTTTGTCTCAGTGTGGTGAGACTATGGGATGTACGTGTAACCTGTCATAATATTTGAAGTTAAGTGTGCTTAAGCTAAATATGTTCAAGGTCAGTAAGACTTCTGGGATATGAGAAGGCCTATTTTTTAGATTTTACAGTATAAACTGAAGAGCCTGACGAGTCAGATGCTTTGGAAATTTTTTTCATAATTGAGGAATGGTTTTCCCCAAGTCTAGTAGAAGGACTTGGCTTTTGGGATAGTGTGCTTTATGCACAGGGAAATAATTTTGAGGAATTGGATGTATTAGCTTCTTATTTTTATATACATCAGTATAATATCCTAGACTATGAATGGTAAATATTTTGTCATTCAACAGGTATGTTCGGAAAGTAGGACGAGAAGGTTCTCCTGGAGCATTGAGTGATGATGTCACAGTTGGAGATGAGAGATTAAGTGAAGGATCAGGTCCCTCAGTGCCAGGCTCTCTGGCACCCTCCCCATACCCATCACCTTACCCTTCAGAAGATGATGCAGATTCCCAGGACCGGACATTACTAACAGGAGCTGCCAAAAGGAAGAAGCAGAACCCTTCTCAGTTTCAGCTCAGCAGTTTTGTAGATTTATCATACTGGAAACAGTAAGTACTAAAGTTCACATAATGTTCATTTACCTATTATATGAATAGGTTGGAATTTTCCAATTAGAATTGTTTTGTGATATTACCTCACAACTGTTTTGTCTTTCAGTATCAGGAGCAGAAACATTTACTTCAGTGTCCCAGTATAGTTGAGGAATCCTTAAAATCCTTGTAATTTTCCCAAAAATTTGTTCGTAGAAGTATATTGATCATATTTGCCATTTCAGAGAAAAGGTATGCTGTGGCCTCATATTCCGAGGAGATTGCGGAGAGGTCCTCATAGATCCTCGCTTTTTCCAACCCTGTTCATGTCGGATAAAGTCTCTGGAGTCCTCCCCTGCACCAACACCAGCCTCCACGCCTCTTGCTTCTTCAGGAGCCTCTGATGGTGGCAGCCACTATGATGATGAGATATTAGAAATGATGTCTGAAGCCAATATGAATGAAGATGATGATTATCAAGACTCTGACTCGTTGGACGAGCGATTAGATGAGCCATATTACTCATCAGCAACAAATTCTCCCTCAGCCCCGCTTTTGCCTCATTTATCAGCAGGACTAGCAAGTTAACTATAGTGTTAATTAGTGTGCAAAAATTATGACTAACTACCTATTTAATTGTCGGTAGATTCGTACCTTTTTTATGATTTAGATATGACAAAATTTCCATGATCAATATTAGTGTGTTCTGAATTTTTATTTATTATTCATGGGTCCAAGACTTGTATTTTTCAGGGTTGATAGATAAATTTTGAAGAAAAAAAAAAAAAAAATAGTTTTTTATTATTTGGCACAGAGCTAGGCTGCAGCCCCTCCTAACTCTTTATAAAGTCTTGTTATGACAATCTGTATCATGGCAATACTCGTCTTACTGCACCACATAATCTGTCCACTATTGCAAGCAGTCAACCAGTTCTGCTCTATGAAAACTGAATTTCAGAAAATGCATGAATACAAAACCATATTTTACAAATGCTATTTTTTATGCCATAAGCCTTTTTACAAGATTAGGATATACATGTGAACTTGGATGAAAGTATTCAGTTTTTATATTGTAGAACACCAGTACAACATATGTAATATTTGTGTGCAGGTTTTTCAGCTCAGTTGTAGGAATAAAACCTCAAACAACTTACATGGAAGCTTTAAAAATTGCTGGAAACATATGGTACATGAGTTGCAGGAGGTATTATATTCCGGTGCTGTGCATGGTGCTGCTGCTGCCACTGATGACAGTTAGGTGTAGTGGGACGGTTCTAGGATCTCCATATCAGGGAGTGGGCGCAGCTGCCTCTTGTCCTCAGGTCACAAGGCTCATGTGCTCAGTCCACCAGTCACTGGCTCCGGTCTCTCATCTCAACATAGCCTCCTCCCTCCATTATACAGGGTCTGCCACCATCGTTCCTTTGTCCTTTATTCTTTACCAACATCCAGCTCTTCCAAAAGGGACCAGCAAGTGCACAGCTAACTTGTATACTACATGACTTTGATGTTCAAAGTGGGAAGACAGTATGAAAATAGAAATGCGCTTCCCTAACACATTAGTGATACTCGTAAAAGCTGTCTTTGCACAAATAATTACATTATTTCTGTGCTGAAATGTGTAAAGGCCGACATTCGTGTCAAAGACACGATATAAGATATTTTGTAATTTTACATCATTTTGATAAGTGACCTGCAGCATTGTTTAATGCAGCTAAATTGTATGACTAGAGCAAGACAATAAGAGGCTGCTTCAGGCCTCCTTTTTATCAACTGTCAGCCAATTGCACTCATTGCTATGTGTTCCCTCTTTTCCTCTTGTTTTGGAGGCGAGGCAAGTACAAAATCCTTTTTCTTGTTCAACTGCTCCCATCTTTGTTTTGTTACTGAAATATGAATACAGTTATCTTCAGAATTTCTACTAAGTAGAGATTCAATTTTTAATATATAAAGCATAAAGTAAGTATTTTTAGCTAATTGAATATTGAATATTTTTAAACAATTTTTCATATATGCATAATGTGCTCAACCTGTTTTTTTACAAGTTTTTATTCTGAAATGGAGCCAGATGATGGTGAAACCGACTTGCCTGCCATATTGCAAATTCAAATGAATTATTTCCAAACCTGAATCTAGTCTTCAAACATTTTTAATGTTAAGGACTTGATAAAAAATATAAAAAATTAAAAAAAAAAAATCGAACAGATGGCCCTCAGTATTACAAGGTACAATTTTTTTCCTCTGCTTTTTTCTTTCTTTTCTTTCTTTTTTTTCTACTCTTTATTGCCACACTATGCGCTTGTTAGCACACATGAGCGGTGCTGTCCTGATGCTCGCTGCAATATGAATCTCTAGCATCATGGATAGTTACTAGAAGGAGAACAGAGTTTTGTTGATGCGTATGTACGGATGTCCGCATGAATGAAACAGGCACACTGGAATGTGATGTCTGGCACCGAGTTGGTCCCAGCACCTGTTTTACTTATGAGGATCGTCCAAGGAATCAATGCAAAGCTATGGAAACCCTAGGTGTAATACTGGAATATGCTTGTGGATCTCTGTTAGTGAAATGCTCATTGTTATGGCTGTTTTAGATAGTTGGTCTTTTTTATAATTTTTTATGGATACAAATTTCTTGCCCCCAGAATTAAAGAGCACATACTAAAACCTAAATTCAGGGAGCCATACATTGATATATGGTTGATGTCAAGTATTTTATAATCTGATTGATGTGTTAACTGAGTGAGAAAGGATAATATCTTGTTTTCCTTGTTGATATGCATCTTTATGAAAGTAGGTTCTTGTATGTGACAAGCCACAAGCATTTCTAAGAATGAATTCCAGTAATTACACAGACAAATATTTTCAGCCCTAGGAGCCAAAACTCTCCCAAAGACTGTGATTTTTTCAATATTAAAGAATATTTAAGACAAGTGAGATTAGAGGCATGTTTTGTATAAAAAATGCAATCGGGGAAAAAAAATTATACATGCATTGCATTCCAAAGATTGTTAAGTGTATAATAATATTAATATCCCTTCATAAATATTTCCAATAGGTATGGACCTGACACCTCATGGTGTCAATGACCATTGCATTTCTGATTTATTATAATTATTATTTATTATCTAATTTAATTCAGGTATACTACTTAAGTGGGTTAATTGCAAAGTGACAGGCTGAAGTCACACAGCATATGCCTGTGGCATGTGTGCAGGCATATGCTTCCACCCCCTTGATGCTGACCACACAGTTATTTTAACTTGCAACACTTGTTATGGTGCCCTTGTTAGTTTCTGCAGCTGTTAGAGAGTTAATCACTTCCCCTGTCTTTTGTTTCTATTTATGTATTGCATTATACAGCGTGGTGCAGCAGACCTGCCCCAGTCAAGATTTGGCAGGTAAATGGGCTATGCTGTGACAAATGTGTGGTTAGACTAGGGGGTGGGACCAGATCTGGGATGGAGTATAGTGTCCCTGAAGTCTGTCTGCCTTGTCATGATCATGGTATAAGCACAAATGAAACTGCAACTGTATAAAGTGCTATAATTCATGTAACAGTGCTCTTTGTTACCAATACTCTTTCTTGGGATATTTATCTAATGAGATGTGAATAAATACATTTTGATATTGTGATATATGATGTATGATATCGTTTTACAGTACATATATATATATAAAAGTGCTGCTTTAGGTTGTATTTAAATTATTTATTTTTTAAAGGCCTGTTGGTGAACTAGAGCACTTTCTTTAAGTAAACAGCTGCAGCATGTTTCCTACTGCATCTCACAAGTACCTGGGAGGAGTCAGGGCGATCAACATTTTAAGCGTTGATCACAAGCAAAATGAATGTCTGATGTTGAGGATGTGATGAATGTGTTAGCTCATTCAAGTGTCACTATTGGACCTGATGTGATAACCATACCTTGGAGCTGTGAACAATTTTTTGCTTTTATAGTCGCCCGGTTCCTCGTGGGTTTGTACGGATGGTCAAAGGACAGTCAGAGAAAAGGTTCTCCTTTGTTATGAAATTGTTTTGTATAATGACAGATGATCCACAAATAAGCTTAATAATTTGAGCTTAAGAAGTGTGTCCATTTCTCTGTTCACTTATTTAATGTTTCTGTAGTTGTGAATGTAGTTATCCTTTACAAGTTCAGTACAATAAAGTATTGTCAACTATTTTGTGTTAATTTAATGTTTTACCATAGTATATTACTACTATTTATTTATAACTCAGATTTCACTGTGTGATAGAAAATATATTTAGAAACATCCAGAAAAGCCTCCTTTGTTCAACCAATTTATAATAATAAGCTTTGATATCTGTAGGATATAGACTGTTGATTGAACACAGTAACAACCTCATACAGAGCGTACAAAATAAGAAAAATGGTGAGGAGACACATCTCTAACTGTTGTTGCTTGAACAAAGGTTTAAGGTCAGGAGTATGCATAATGCAAGAGAAAAGTACTGCACCAAATCCAGTGAAACTTATAATGAAAATTACACTGGCTGAAACACGTCTGAAGCTAAAAAAATATTCAATATTTTCAGTCCGTCATAGCTTGAATAACGAGGTAAACGCTATTTATCAGATGGATTCCATTTTTGCGCAGCATTTCATAGATTGCTAATATCAAAGGCTATTTTGTTGTCTTTTTAACAAATTTTCACAGAATTGGTTGCATTTTTGGCTGGGAAAAACACTGCATGCTCTATCTTCAAATTTTCCTGATTACTAGCATCGCTTTTAATGCAAAATGCAAATATATAACAGCCATGCACAATGGAACGATTGCAATGACACCATAATCATGAAAATCAGTTAATGCCTAAGGGAGCTGTTATAGGGAGAGAATATCAGAATCTTTTAACTTGAGAAAACTGCGTTGAAAGCTGCTATTTGTCTCTCTGCCTTGTAGTCTCTCAGAAGTCGCGCAATCCGCATTTACTTTCAGTGGGATGTTAACTTCCCTCTCATTGCTTCTCAGATAGTTGTTTATGACAAACAGGAAATGGAACTCCTATAGCTACCCTGTAAGGCTTATAGTGCCAAGTTTGAAGTGCGTAAATGTTTTACTCAATTAAACATGCAGATAATACAAATTATTTGTCTTTGTATTATCAATGAGACAAGGGAACACTCTGCTCCCTCATCCACCCCCCAATCCCAATGTCCATACTCCTACATTTGAATTATTTGCAGATATCCATCCTCCTCCTCTTCCTCAAGTTCCCGTCATCACCTTTCCTCCTACACCCTCCTAACATACCCGCCTTCTCTACCGAATACTCATACGAATCCCTTCTATCACAACAGTGGCCTTCTTCAGACCCCTCCCCACTAGACATTCTTCCTGATTCTTCACCACCTTCCCCATTTCTCAAGCCCCGAATTCTGCTTTTCCAACAGTCACTATTTTCCTTAAACAATGTCCCTATTCCATCCCCAGTCACTGATACAATACAATTCACTCAATCGCTCAATCTCCTTAACCTTTCCCAATCTACTACCGCCTTTCCCTTTTCGTTACCATACTTTCCTATAACACCCTCTAATCTTTGACATCGAACACTTTCCCCTCTCCCCGGCTTCTACTTTTCCAACAGCCATCTCTATTCTTCATTGAACATTTTTCCTATATCTTCCCAAGTGACAGATACACTATAATTCACTTAATTGCTCTACTCTTTAACCCTCCCCTTTTTTACTAATTTCTTCTCTTGTTCCCTTGCTCCCCCTTTCCCTTTTCACTACCATACTATCCTATAACGCTTTCAAACCTTTGGCATTTAACACATTTTATCTTAATCTTTAACTCGTCTTTGCCCTTTCCGACACAATACATAGTGCTATATGACCTTTGATGTCTAGCACATTTATTTGTTTCATTGAACATTTCTCTCTTTTTCACATCTAGTAATCCTCTCAGACCCCGTCCATGGGTTCTTTTTTCTTGTCAATGCATTTCCTGGCTCTGGTATGATGGAACGCAGACATGAAGATAAACCAACTGGTCGCACGCCTCAGTATATTTTGTATGATTGAGTTTTTGCTTGATGAGATCCTACATAGTGCCTGATAAAGCTGCCAATGTCCACGATAAAAACAAACAATAACGTATGTTTTGTTTCTAAATGTATTTCAGTGAGGATAGTGCGTTTAGATATGACATGCCACCCACAACTACTGATAATGTTTTAAAAATATTTGCTCAGATCAGTTAAAAACTTCATTGAAGTGCTGCCATAAAGTTATACTTATCAATACCACTGAATCCCATGTTAACATATTAGGTCTAAATTTTGCCTACCCCTCCTGTTATCATCATCATCATAGGAGCTAACGCCGACGGGGGTGCATAGCCGCGTCCACCTTTTGGGATCCCTCATGGCAAGCCGTCAGGCAGGGACTCGGCCCATTTCGAGCTCCTCGCGACAGGTTTGATTGATCTGCCCAAACCACGACCTCCTAGGTCGTCCCACAAGCCTCCTCCACCCAGGGTTGTTTCTTACAGAGACACCCTGATGAGCAGGATCAGTCTGTGGGAAGCGAACAAGGTGGCCATATAGCCTGAGTTGGCGATCCCGGATTGTGCAGGTAACAGGTCCTGTGCCAGTCTCACGGTGCAACCGTTGGTTAGACACATGGTCCCGCCAACAGTACCCTATGATCCTGCGCAAGGACCTATTACAACGAGACGAGACTCCAGGGCACTGGATAATGTCCAGGTTTCACTTCCATAGAGTAAAACTGGCATTATCAGGGCCTTGAAAACCCGTAGCTTGGTCCGAGATCGCTGGAATGTGATGCACAGGTACTGGCATCTCCAAATACTCTTGTCGAGAGAGTTCATGTCCCCTGCTGCCAGGCCAATCCGTCTGCTGACTTCCTGGTCAGACAGCCCAGAGTTATGAGCTGCACTACCAAAGTATGTAAAGCTCTCTGTGACTTCAATGTCCTCGCCGCAAGCACGTACCGACCGAACAGGTTCTCCTAGCAAGTCCCCTAAGTCCTGGATCTAGACCCAAGGGCTTCGCTTTATTACTAAATAAATCGAGAGCCATAGATAGCAACATCATCGGCAAACTCAAGGTCTGTAACCTAATATTGCCCAGTGGTGTTCCACAATGACTTTGAACAGTAGCTCTGCCCAGGATCCAGTCCATGCAAGTATTGAAAAGTGTTGGTGCAAGAACACAGCCTTACCTCACTCCTGAACTGACAGGAAAGAAGCTCGACAGGCCCCCACCACACTTTAGAGCACTTTCAGTACCAGAATACAGGCTTGCTATTAGTTCAATAATCCTTGTTGGAATTCCTCTCAGTCTCAGGATCTCCCAGAGTGATTCCCGATGCACCGTATCGAACGCCTTCTTGAGGTCGATGTAGGCTGCAAGCAGCCCACGCCCGAACTCACGACGGCGCTCTACAATGACTCGAAGCGCAAGGATACGGTCTATTGTGGACTTCCCAGGAGTGAATCTAAATTGCTCAGTAGGTGGTCTCTAAGAACCTTGCCTGGTATACTGAGCAATGTGATGCCTCGGTGATTGCTGCAGTCCCATTGGTCCCCCTTCTCCTTCCAGAGGGATGACCACACCCCTCAGCAGGTCAGGGGGAACGGTACCGGACCACCAGATGGCAGCCAGGACAGCATGCAACCCCCGCGCCATAGGTTCATCACCAGCCTTAAACAGTTCAGCTGGGACAAATACCCGCTGCTTTACCACTCTTCAGCTTGGAGATCCCCCCCTAACTTCAGTTAGGAAGGGTGGGTCCTCGCTAATGGGTGGGTCCGGCAGCGGAATCACGGCAGTACCCGCATCCAAGTTAACTTGGTGGGTCAACCTGATACAACTGCTCAAAATACTCTGACCACCTACTAAGCGAACTACAGTCACCGGTGATGAGGGCTTGGAATTCAGCTTTCTCAGGGCTTGGTATGCAGGACGAAGGTCATTTACTAAGAAATGGCCTTCGACCTCCTCAGCAAGACTCCTAATAAACTGTTCCTTGTCCCTTCTTCCCTTCTTAACAGAGACCGAGTTCTACGCACAGAACGGTGCAAATCCCGATCCCCTGCCAGACGATCCGCACGGCAAGCATCTGTGGCTTCCAGTGTCTCCTGAGAGATTAAATTCTGTCTTGCCCTTGGGCGTTCTCCAATCGATTCTTGGGCATCAAGCGTTTCGCGCTTGAAGGTGGCCCACAGAAGTATAGGGTCCGTCAGATTGTCGAGCGCTGTGAAGCGATCAGAGATTGTCTCAGCAAACCCCCGAGCACCGAATCTTAAAGGAAATCTCTCTGCGCCGCTGTATCAACTCCCGAACCATGAGGACCGACAGACATCTCATAGCCAGCTCGATCACAGCCAGATACCGCACTGAAGTCACCCAGAGCAATACGAATATCTCGCCGGGGACAACTGTCTGTCACAGATGCAAGTTTGGCATAGAACATCTC